TTGGGTTTTCTGGAAAGCTTGTACTCTCCCCTCCCCTCCCACAAAGGCAGTCTAGAACAGTTTTCTCAAAAAAACATACATATTATGAAAAATAATTTGGGGGCTGAGGATGTGGCTCAAGCGGTAGTGTGCTCTCCTGGCATGCTTGGGCCGCTGGGTTCGATCCTCAGCACCACATAAAAATAAATGTTGTGTCCACCAAAAACTAAAAAATAAATATTAAAAAATCCTCTCTCTCTAAAAAAATAATAATTTAATAAGTTTTGTTATGCTCTTGGGGTTAGTGTATAATAGAAAAACCCTGAGCATGTGAGTTGGACAAGCTACATTTGAACTATAGTTCTATGTGTCACATATCAGCTCTGTGGCCTTAGTAAGATCACTAAAAGTCTCTGAGCCTCCATTTTTTATAAGATTGTCATGAAAATTAAATATATCACCTAGCTGAAACTCTGAGCAAATCACAAGGAAACCACAAAAATGTTAGCTATTATTGTCATATTTATTAAAATGGATCTCTAGAGCTCAAAGAAATCAGAGTAATTCCTAAAGAAGGCAGGAATCAATTCTTCCATTATGCTCTCTGTTTATGCCTGGGTTAAAGTTTTCTCTCTCCATTTTTCAACAAATGATTCATTGAAACTTCAGTTGATGAAAATATTTTACTGGATTAGAGATGGAGGGAGTAAAACAAAACATAAGAAGGGATTAAAAAATGTAGGAAATGGGAACTTTGTTTAAAGTGCTCATGTAAACTCAATTTAGGGATAATTCAGAGGAGATTTAAAATAACTTCAGGGGTCAGGAAGCAGGCCTTCCATCAAAAATTACAAAAATGATAGAAAATTTTGCATGGAGATGTAATAATTCTGTTATCCATGATGCAGATTAGATTAGTAATCAGCCTAAATTCTTCATCTTCAGTGATTATAGCACAAATGAAAACTGGCTTTCATTGCATCACTAATAATCTCCAGACCATGAGAAGAGGATTGGGCTTCTCCACAGAGAGGGTCTACCCACTTACCATATCAGGGGACAGAGAGCCGCCATTTGTTTCCCTACTTTATAAAGACTTCCCATAGCTTGAGGATGGATCCCATAATTTCTATCAATATTTTAATTGTATCAATATTCATTAATATTTATTAATATTTTAATTTGCTCTAGCTAGTACTGTGATTCTAGCAACTTGGAAGTCTGAGACAGGAGGATCGTGAGCTCAAGCTCAAGGCCAGACTGGGCATTATGTGGAACCCTGTCTCAATAACAAAACAAAAAGAACCAAAATGTGTTACTTTGAATAGACAGCACACTTTTTTATTTGTCACTCCTGAGAAGGCAGTCACTCCACAGATAAGTAGTGCAACAAGCGTTGGAAGAGAAGGGGTTAACTAATTGTTTCCTAAGGCAAGTTTGACACTGGCAAGAAAGCAACAGGACACTGGATTCTTTAAGTATAGAAAGGTTTTCATCACCTTAAAGGGAAAAGGAGGCAGCATGTCAGACGTGGGGGGTCCATCTTCTTCTCTATTTTACTGAGACTCAACCCTTGATAGAAATCATTAAACACTGAGTGGCTACTGAGTGATCCGTTTTCTGTACATCTTTAAAAGCTGGGAAAATGATTTATGATCATCTTAGAGTGTTTGCTAAGCTTCTGACAACCATTTAGTGGGGTTGCATGCATCAAAAAAAAAAAAAAGAAAAGAAAAATTGGACAAGCCCTGCTCCAAATGGTCCTAGCATCACAGTCACAGTATCCCCTGAAAACTTGTTGGATATGGAAATCCAGGAGCAACACCCAGTTCGGCTAAATTCATCTATGGGATCCCAGGAGTCTGTTTTTAGCAAGCTTTCCAAGAGATGTTTATGCATAATAGAGTTTAGAAACCACTACTATAAGTTACTCTCTACCGGTTAAGAACATATGTAAGATACTTGTGTTTATTTTTTGACTCTTGGCAACTTAGTCCCATGTGCAAACAACTGAAAGGCAAGTAAAATATTTCTGTGCAAGATCCTTCAATTTTTCTATTTTTTAACCAGCCTCTTAATAATGTTGATTAGAGTCCTTTTTGCCATACAATAGATTGCCAAGATCATGATCAAGAAGCTTATTCAAATGAATCTAAAATGTTTAAATGGAAATGACCTGGAGATGTAATTGCCAAAATTTAATCAAGGATTTAATTTGTAGCTCAGGCCAGCCAAATGGATTTTTCAGTTTCCCAGCACACTGTTTGTACTAAGAAATTAAAAAGTATGGAGTCACAGGCAAAGCAGTGAACCCTTGAAGCATATTGCAATGTGCACTTGCTTCTTAGCCATATGATATCATACTGTTCCTTGGGAATTTTAGTTCTGAAAGTCAGCCTAGAGTCATTGGGGTAAAAAATATAGCAAAATATATTGGTATTTAGTCAAATGGTATAAATTATTGCTAGATTATCTTAACCTATTGGTTGGTATGAGCATTAATAGGATGGGTTAAAAATCCTGTTCTTCATTCTGCTTGTTAAAAATGTCCTTGTTTAAGCATGCTGTGTCCAGTTGCCTTCAAACTGCTAAATGAAGGAGAAGTGTGATTTAGAGTTGGGACATATTTCATGTGAATTTGATAATGGCCGCTGCTAGTGAAATACCACAGCATCGCCTCCTCCAGCCTGCCAGTGATAATAGGTTTTCACTGAGCTCTTGGCACTTGTTTTACAAAAGCCTGAGCTTTGAATACTTTGTGTCCCGAGGTGTCCATCATTTAGATGATGAAATTCCCAGTGCAGATTTGACAGAACAGTAGTTTATCAACTGTGATTTGCCGAGCTCAGCATTAAGGTCTATATGTTCTGAGAAAAACAAGAACATATCAGGTCAGTGATGTTCTAATCAAGCTCGGGCAGACATAATTTAATATTTGCATTTCAGTGACGTTTTGTCTAACACAAGTGATGGTTGAAGGTACATGAGAGTGGGACCACTTCTAATGCTTTGAGGTTGAAAAGGATCAAGAGTTCTAAGTGAAACAGTAGTTCTTTTTCTTCCTTGGCTGTAGCATGATAGGCCCATTCCAACACTTATTTAGGAAGAAACTATTCCAGAACTTCTAGTGGCATCACAGAATTTGATGTCACCTGGTAAAAAATGAGGACTGAAACTTTTCTTGTTTTGAGTCCTAAGGGAAGCAGGAGAAATGAAAGCTAGAAGATCACAAGAATTTCATGATAATATTAAGTATGTTTTTTTTTTTCCTTTTCCTCCAGCATTTTAACACACAGAGAAAAGCAGATAGAAGTTGACCATGGACTCACTCCCTGGATTCCAAAATTAACCTCGGTCCTCTACTGGCTTTGCTCTTAACCAATTACTCTATCTATTCATCAATCCACCTTATTTTGTTCAAGGAGACACACGGATCAAATATTGATATACCTCACCTATGTAACCTGACGACCCAGCCATAGGGAGAACATTGCCACTACCCTAGAAATTAATTAATGTTTACATCTCTGAATTTATGTATGCATGCTGCTAGACCTCTGGTACTTTCTTTTAATTTAATAAGGAGGCTCCCCTGGGCCTACATGGTAACTGTGGGAGGCTAACATATTCATCTTCTTTCTGCTCTTTCCTCTATGCTTTTCCCGAAAATGACATTCTGCTCAGACTTAATGTGAGTCTATGTATCCTACACTTAGCTGATGATTTCTTAAAATTTTCTTCATTTAATTTTTCATTAAAATGAGTAGAAGAATGTGAAGAGGCATGAAGAGCAAGCTAATCAGCTCCCTGCCATCACCAGCACCTCTAACCAAAGGAAATAGCCTCATGCTGATGGATCTACAGCTCTCCCTATGCACATAGATCTTCAGAATGGATGACTTAGGTGAAGGAGGCCAATTGAATGCTCTTTTTCAAACCAGCTCTGGTTCATTGATAATGAGTGTTAGTTGCCCGGAGTTCAATGTTAAGAAGGATCCTAAGGCGATATCTGTACTTGATGGAAGTGTTTAGTGATGCTTGCCACAAATAGAGGCTAGAACAAAAACATAGATACTTTTCCTTTTCTATTGTAGATTTGGGAGAACTAACTTCAAAACCAGGAAACTGAAAAAGACTAAGGGGATTAGGTACCATGCTAAAATATTTTCTGTTCTAGTTCATATTTGTATCCTATGGAAATAACCAAAGTTTCTTTTGACTGGTACTACTCACCAAAGGGATGTCAAAATGGAGTTTGCATATACAAAGTGAATGAGAAAGGTAGAAAGAGATATAGGGATGGAGAGGCAGGAACTGGCACATTCTCTCATGCTAAGGGAAAAAAAAATGTGCCACCATTTGCCTTAATACTGTTGTACTCCAGGATCCCCCCCTCCTATGCAAAATATAAAATTCTAATTGGTTAAATACTTGGATTATTGCTACCATGGGATAAGAATGCCCAGTTCAACTGTACTGCTTCTCTCTAAGAGGCAAATAGATACTAAGCCTGTCAGGATTATTCTTAGCATGTGAGGGGTGGACAGTTGGGTGAAGAATCAAGCTTTTCTTTCATCTCTTACTACCCAGTTTCCTTTATAACACTTTGGCATATGTCAAGACAATTTGTTTGGCTCCTCATAGCATCTGTATGATCTCTCTCTTCACAGCAGTGTTCCCCAAGTGCAAGTTGCTTGTCTCAAGATCATTTTCAAAGACTCAATTTTCAAAGCAAATATACATACACATCAGTAGCATTTTCGAAAACAAAGGTTATCACATTTTTTTTTTGCCCCCGGGGCATAGACAAGCAAAGGGAGGATGCTGAGTACAGAAAGTGAGTTTATTTCACATGGCAGATCTCATAGAGATTGCATCCATAAATGCACTGCCAAATTGAACCACAGAATAGGGGGAATGAAAGGGGTGGAGTGGGGAGCACTATGAGAACAATGAGAAAGGAACAAATTTAGCAAAGTGTGAAGTTTAAGGAGACATGTCTACAGAGTCAGTTTCCTTACCAAGTTTCAGGTTCACTCCTGAACAGAAATAGTCAGCAAGGAGACACACAGGCGCACAGAGACCTGCGCAGCCCAGGGACACGCCCCACCCCCTGGAAGGGAGAACAATTTTATTTCATCAGAACTGCTGAGGAATGTTGCTGCTGATAAAGTAACAGAAAATATTTCTGGGAGTGTATTTTCTTTCGGAACTTGGGAACAGAGACAGTCTGTCTGAACCCAGCTCAACTTTTCCTTCTTATCACTTTTTAAAAGCATGTTATCTTTAAGAGCCAAATTAACTTTTCATGATATGGCTTCTTGGCAGCTGATACTTAGGCATCACAGATCTGGACATGAATGACGAAGCAATTTTGTAAAATGACTATTCCCAGAGCCGCTGGCTTTTTGGTTTTGGTGTCAATCATACATTTAGAATTGTAGTTCCTCTCTAGATTTATGCACCTCTGCAAGAATAAAACTGTTTCAGGCAAGGCTTGAAAAGCACAATAACCAATAAGAGCCACAAAGTATATTCTTATGAGAAATCAATTAATTTTTCACACTGATATCTTCCAAGTAGGATTCATTTTCTGTTTGGAATATTTTAGTATCGTATAGAATTTTGTCAATACATGCAGAAGGTGTAATTAGTAATATTCCTGAAAAAGAGCCTAGTAGTTTTGGTGCTATGCTGAAAGGTCTACCAAATAAAGCTTAAAGATGAAATTAAGTAAATGTAATCCCTACTCTTAGGAAGACAAGAGTCCCAATATTTAAATTTTTACTTTGATGCCTTTCTCTACTATTTTGATATTCTAGAGAACATTAAGATTCATTCTGCAATGCTTTTTTTTTTTTTTTGGATACCAGGGATTGAACTCAGGGACACTCAACCACTGAGCCACATCCCCAGCCCTCTTGTATTTTATATAGAGACAGAGTCTCACTGGCTTGCTTAGCACCTCGATTTTGCTGAGGGTAACTTTGAACTCTCAATCCTCTTGCCTCAGGCTCCTGAGCCACTGGGATTACAGATGTGCGCCACCACACGCTTAGTTTATAATGCATTTTAATCTTTTAATACAGTGAGATTTTCAGAAGCATATAGTTCTCTAAAGTGAATTACTTATTATATGTAATCATGGGTAGCTATATGATTAGAAGTTTTACAACATGGTTCTACCATTTACAGAATCAAATAAAACCAAGTGTGGCTGGTAAAAAAAAAAATTACTTCTAGTTTATTTATCCAACTATATACAGAATTGTACTTAAGAGAGTTACGGAAGGACCATTTCTCACAGGAAGTGTTGGTTCATCTGTTTTCTGTTAGATAAAGGTTTTCTTCATAAATTTTAGGCTGTTATTTATTTTTTTGGCATCTGACTTCTGCCTTACTTTATTTTATAATAGGAAACCAATTATGTAACTACATATTATCAAAAATTGGAATGTCATGGCCGATCTTCAGACACCTAAAATGTAAAGCTGTTATATACACATGCTCTGAGGCAGAGGCTAGTCTCTGTGTATACTTTAGAAATAAAAATATCTTTTGTTTGCCGCTTGTTTTTTTAATATACTCAAACAGAACTATTCTTGGGTTGTGTTGCACATTTTCTTGGGTTTAAATTTCCTTTTTATTGCATGTATGTACACATACTTTTTGAAATCTCTCAGTGGTAAAACAATTTCTATTAAGCATTTTTATAAAGGTAGTTCTAATACTTTCTGTATAAGTTTCTCTGTTTTATTTTCTTTTACAATTTGATGTGACACTCAGATCACTGCTTAAGCTCTATTCCAAATCCATCATCTCTTTCCTATGAGAGTCTACTGCATATCCTCTCAAAAGCAGAAGAACATTAGTTGCAACCAATCTTCAGGAGAAGAGTACATGCATAGGTAAAAAGATATTATACATATTTAGAAATAAATAATTTGCATAAATAATTAACATAAACCTTGGGACTTGACCTTGAACAAATAGGCATAATGGCCAGGAAAATTTTGTGGTTGTTCAATAAACTTTCTTTAATAAGAGAAGTATGCATTATTTTAGAGCTTTTCCAGGACTTCCCTGCCTCAGCACAATGACTTTTCCTATTAGGGTTCCGTGCATGCTCTGTCACAGTTGGTCCAGCTTTACTTACCATCTGCACCATTGCCACTGTCACCCCACTCCTCAGCTGGGTGAACCAGGGAGCCTTCCATTATTGTTTTTATAGCATTTACCAACAGTCCTTCCTGAGTGGCCCCAGCTTTGACCTTTATGACATCACTTTCCCTACTGGAGTGTCATTATTGGAGGTGGAGAATAGCCCTTTGCCAATGGCCAGCACTATTGACCTAGACAGGTACCCTGAAATGTGGATGCCAACCAGCATTCCCACCCCTAGCCTTTCTCTGGACAATGGATAATTTTCCTTTGAGCTCTCACTTGCTCTATTGTGGGCACACTTCTATTACCTTAGCAAGTTTATTTTATTCTAATTACTTGCATGCTTCCCCAGTGAAAATAAAGTCTCCATGACACCCTCCATGACAAGAACTATTTATTGTTGTTTTGTTTGTTTGTTTATAGTTGTTTGTGTTTCTGAGGATTTAACCCAGGGGTGCTTGACTACTGAGCTACATCCCCATCCCTTTTTATTTTTAATTTTGAGAAAGGATCTCACTAAATTGTATAAGGTCATGCTACATTGCTGAGGCTGGCTGTCAGTTTGCATTCAACCTGCCTCAACCTCCCTGGCTGCTAGGATAACAGGTATATGCCACTGTGCCAGGCAAGAATTATTTAACACCATCTTTGAGAGATCAATTAGAGTGAGGAGGGCTTGGTACATATTCATTGTTGGATAGAAAATTCTGAACAGTACTTATATTTTAAATAAAAATAATTTCAAAGAAAATAAACAAAAATTAATGATTGATCATATATATATATACACACATATATATATTAAAGAGAGAGAGAATTTTTTAATATTTATTTTTTAGTTTTCCATGGACACAACATCTTTATTTTATTTTTATGTGGTACTGAGAATCGAACCCAGTGCCCTGCGTATGCCAGGCGAGCATACTATTGCTTGAGCCACATCCCCAGCCCCAAATATTTTTATTTTATTCATTTTTTTGTGTGTGTATGTGTGTGTGGTGCTGGGGATTGAACCCATGGCCTTGCACATGTGAGGCAGGCAATCTACCAGAGCCCCAGTGATTGATTATATTTTTACATATACCTTTTATTTACATAGTCATTTCAGTAATATAACCTCAAAAATAATAGGGTCTAATTTTAAACAACTTAATTTTAAATTTCTTTTCTTAAATTTTTATATACAGAACAAAATTTGGAAGTTGTGAACAAAAAATTCATTCTCTAGTTTAAGAAGGAGAGGCCTACTGTATTTAGGTGAACATAGCTCTTATTTTTCATTGTCTTAAATAAAATAGCAAGCACTTATTAAATGTTATATGCTATAAAATATATATCATTGGTTTATTTTACATTTGTTCTGGCACCAAGAAAGAATGAGGTCATGCATTTTGGAAGTAGAGACTATTTTGTGGATTTCCTTTATGTGTGGCTTCCTTTTGAATCAGATGGGTTTTCTTCTTCCTTTTCAGGTCTCACTCACATCTTATACAAAATCTTGTAAATTGTGTCAACTGAGGACATGGCTACAGATAGTAGAAGTATTTTAAAAGCCACTAAACATAAAGGGTTTCTCTATGTCCCCAGAACAGCCAGGTTTCTGTTTAATCCTATCCCTTCAGAATGTATCTTAGGTCTCTGATATAAGCCACGTGATCATCAGCAAATAATCAAAAGGATAGAATCTTCAAAGAATCCAGTTCGTAGGTAACATGTATTATGTTATTTAGTTTTGACAAAGTCATTCAGGCATTTAAACGTTATTATCTGAAGAGTTTCTTTTTCCTTCAACATAAGGACATTTGTAGAGTAAAATAATATCTATTTCATATTTGACATGAGGTATTTCATTTTAGTCCCATTTTCTTTCATTCGGCACTGAGCTAATTATTTTTTTAGCAATAAATGATAAATAACAACTCATAATCAGACACAAAGGATTTTGGGATATGCTATGTTGGCACACTTGGGGAAGGTTTCTTCTTTTTAAATGTAAAATATTATAGCATAAAAAGCATTAATTTGATGAAAAAATTTGGACCCATCTATCTTTGCTTTCCCATTTCCTAGACTGCTGGGAAGATAGCAGTATTTTCACGATTGCTATTTGCTAGAAATAAGTTGCCAAAGATAATAAAATGGTATCCTGCTTAATAACTGTGGTGAAATCTAGCATCGAAAAGATTATTAGCCTTATGAATCTAAGTCAAATAGGTAAAATGTAGAAAAGCAACTGCATATATTAGAATATTTACAGGTAATTTCTTGCTACAAAAGGAAACGATACTGAGGTAATAATAATGGTATTATTTCATGGTACTTGAGGAAGGTGCATGGGCTGGTAACAATAAATACTGTTAGTTTTTTGAAGTGTAGAGTCAAGTTGGTATTGTTTTCACTCAGTTCTATCAGAGCTGTACAGTGCTTTCCCAGAGCAATGACCAGCTTTTTCATCTTTCTCCTTAGTAAGATGAATTGTTCACTTTCATCTGTTTTTCCTTCCTCTTCTCTATCTCCTATTATGCTTCAGTATCATGTCCTCAGACAATGAATTGTCTTCTGATGCTTTCATGTGCTTTGATTCTGTTTCCCCATTTTCCTGAAGGTAGAGGGTTCATTTGCTTCTTCAGTGGTTTTTCCAAAATTCCTGTGACAGGGTGAAGGGTCTAATGCATCCTCCTTGTTGGATGCCCCCTTGTCAGTATATAAGAGGGCAAAGAGGCGGATGCCTTCTGGTCCACAAACTGCAAAGGGTAAAATTGCTTACACTCTCATCTACATCTTTCTGGAGGGAGTGTGGCTTCCCATATTGTGCATTTAAACTTTAGTCTGGTATATTCAAGTCTTCTTCATTCTGATGATTGGAGATAGTTCAGTCAGTCCTGGAAAGTCACAGGATGTTTCATGGTGGAGATTGATGGAGAGATATTCTCTTAAAAGAAAAACCAGAGAGGTGGGAATTTGCAAAAGGGTCATGATTTCCCCTTTGTATGGATCAGTCTTACAGTGCCATTATCTATTAACCCTGCACTAAATTTTGTACAATAAATCTGTTTTATTTTTTATTTAACTTTTTACCTTCATTAAATTTTGTCTATTTGGTCCAATTAACATTTTATACAAAGATGAGTCGATTTAGGACTCTAAAAATATTTATTAGAACTGTCCCTCAGATATTCTGCTTGCCTTAAAATAAAGCAAAATGCATGATTTTTAAAAGAGGATCTGTCTTTGGTTCCCATCATTGATTGGATGTTCTCCCTGGTTGTAGAAAAGGATTTAAATGGAAAAAAATTAGGATTCTTTTTCTTTAAAATGTTTCTTCATTTAAATATACAAGTGAATGGATGAGAAAATGTGGTCTTAAGTTTAATAATAATAATTATTAATATTTATTATTATTAATAAATAATAATAATAATAATATTTGCTACTGGGGATTGATACCAGGGTACTTAACCATTGAGCCATGTCCCCAACCATTTTTATTTTTTATTTAGAGACAGGTCTCTCTAAGTTGACTAGGTCCTCACTAAATTACTGAGGCTGGCTTTGAACTTGAGATCTTTTCTCAGCCTCTGAGCCACTGGAATTACAGGTGTGTACCACCACACCCTACTTAAATTTAATTTTTGACCCATACTTTAAAATGCTTAAAATTGTGCTAATAAAAGAGCAATAGATAATCACAGGGATTTAATTTCAGTAGAATGGCAAGAGTGGATGGCTTGTGAGTCTTGTAACAGTTAATTGGGGAAATTATACTAAAGAAATGGAATGGGATATACAGAAATGTTTACCTCACACTGGCAGAATGGAGCCCTCAGTAGAACTTGTTTACATGTACAGATTAACTTGAATGCTCATCTGTGAGGATGCAGTATGTAAACAATTTTATTTTCTGAGCTATTAAACCAAGAAAGAGACAAAATGTTTTATTACAGACAAATCTTTGCCTGGTATCCACATTTTATATTTTCTAAGGATGTTTTGTAAGGTTGGTGCTATCAAAGGACTACTTTTTAATGTTCAAGCTACTGTCTACCCCAAAGGAACTGAACATTGCTTAAGACTGGTGTTACAGTGCATTTTAAAAGTGTAGATTTTATTCTTCTATAGAATAATACAAATGGTATTGGTAAGCATTGATAGAAATCATTGAGAGAAAGTAAAGTGATATATGTGTTTTAAATTTTGCTTTTATGCCTTATTTAAGTTGTTCTTCACCCTCCAGTCCTCTTTAACTAATGGAATTTGAAATGGGTCATATACAGTTTAATGATTCAGTTTTGACGATATTCAAGTGTTAAATAATTTGTACACTCGCACTGTCAAAATAGTTCTGATAGTAATTGACATTAGTTAGCCATGTTATATAGCCATATTATATTTTTGTTTTGTCTGGACAGTTTGAATTTTGTGTTCTGTCATTGAACTCCCACTTTTGTCTTTTGCTACAATTTGAATATTTGAACAGATACTAATAGATCAGCACTGACGAGGACCAAAAAGGTCTTTTAGTAATTTTTATGTTAATATAATTCATTGAAGTGAAAAATCTGTCTCATGTCTCAATCCAAAAGAATAGGGGTATCTTTTTTATTTCATAATTGCTATCTACTTAAAAGAGTTCTATATTCTCCATGCACAGTATTTAGCAAGGCTTGTAGATGTGTAGAGGATCAGGGTAGACCTAGAAAATATAATTTAACAGAGGGAGTTCCATTATCTTGTGGTTTGAAAGGCAAATTTAAACTCCACAGAATTGCCAGCAGGAAGAGATATTATATAAATATGTCAATCATATTTTGACATCACAACCTTGTATTGACACTTCCATCAAAATGTCAGAGGATAAAGCATTAATCATGAGGTATAAGTTCCTGTTAAGTATTCTGTAGAGCAGAAGTTTTCTCTCATATTTACACTAAGTCTTCTAGGCCTCAAAACTGCCACGAAGAAAATTGACTGAAATGGTTGGTGTTTTTGTACCTCCTCCCCAAACACTTGCCCTTGACCTGAGAAATAACTGCCTCCTCTCCT